GAAAACGGGTAAGGTTGACTGTAACGTAATAATCTTTATCTTAGTTGTCGTTACTTTTGCCCGAGCAACGCCAGGCCCACCTGCTAGTATACATATAATAATGTATTAAATGTATACATGATAAGAAATGTAATAATGTATTGCTTTATTCTGTTGTTTCATCTAATGACTATTTATTTAAATTTTATTTTGTTTCAGCTCTGAACTTAAAGATTATTGCGGAAGAATAGGAAACGTTAACAAAAACATGGGTAAAGAAGTGCTATTTGGGAGAAGGCTTATACACCCTCGTTATGATCCAGAAACTTATCACGATGATATTGCGCTTCTGATTCTTAGATTCCGTATTAACGATATACCTCCGATTGCTTTAGTTGGAAAAAACTTAAAATTTACTAAAGGCTACGCCACGTTTGTTGGTTGGGGAAAAATTGGTTTCAGTAAGTGTCATTTTTCTGTATTATATAAAGTTTCGTGTAATAATAAAAATAATATGAATGATATTTTATGTAATTTAGGAGAAGATGATGACACAGACGTTCTTCAAGTAGCGAAAGTAAAGTTAGTGGATCCAAAATACGTGGCTCGTAAATTTGACATCAATTTAACTTACAAAGAAATTATATCAATGTCAGCTACAGTAAAAGCCATGGAAGTAAAGCAGTTACTACTTTTCACATTATGGTTATAGTTAATATTACCCTGTTATTTATGAAAGTTTTATTTTTATTAAAGGGAGATTCTGGCTCACCACTGATCCTCACAGATGTGTTAAAAAGGCAAATGCTTATTGGCATTTTGGCTCGAGGCGGCAATAATACTAAAGAACCAGATATTTACATGTCAACCAGTGTTTACCATGATTTTATAAAAACTCACAGCGTCGGGCGTCTCACATACTTAGAGGTATAAAATTGAAATGTGATGGTGAATTTATTGTATAAATTACATAATTACTTTTCCTTTAAATAAAACGTAAAAGGATCCATTTTAAATTGTTGAATTTACGGATATGTGCATGTGTGTGTGGGTATCTATTTCATGAAGATTAAGAAAGGAAACTTGGCATGGATAAATGTATATGTCAGAACTGGGGGGTAGAGAAAGGAATTGTAAACCCCTCTTATCGGTGATGGGATGGCGAAGCTTGTTCACGGGGTTTATGGATGGCGTAAATTAAGCGCGAGTTGGAATGTCTGCGAGGTCGTCGATAAGGTTTCGGCGATACACGAGTAATCAACCATTGAAACCAGTGTTTCTCAACGGGGGCGATATCGC